TGATAGGCGAGACGAGACAGGTTTAAAAGCATAGCACAATGGCATAGTAGTTCAGGTGGACTCCAGAGTCACGTCGTCTGGGTTCTCAACCTGGCACCACCGTTCACAATCTGTGTGAAGGGAAGGAGGGAGGAGAAATCATAGCTTTAAAAAATTTCCAAATTTGGTTAAAAGTGGCAATCCACGGATCCCAAAAGCTCAGCAAACCCCAAAAAGAGTAACGGCTGGGTAAGGCTGGCTTGCCCAATGGCGATTTTCCTGCTTTAAGAAGTAACTGTGGACCCTGCACCCCACTCCCATTCATAGCACCTATCCAGCCTCAGTTGTTTCCCTTTGTATTACATTTCTTAGAAGTACACCAATCAGAGATCCCTGATTTAACAAGAATCATCTTTTGCTTGGCATGAAAGAAAGTCTGAGAGATACAAGTTTGAAAAATGGCCTCTGGACATGTCTTAGTGGAAGGCTACATAAGAGGTGGGGGAGGGGAATGAGGAAGGGTCAGGAAAGCCGCAGAAGGCATTGGAGGCTTATTGGGCCTTCCAGGGAGATTTAAGGTGGGTTTAGAAGACGAGATCGTTTGACATCAAAGTAACACTTTGCCTGATTGAAATACTGGCACAGTTCAAGCCTTACATCCAAGAAAAGAGAAAGAAATGTTTCCTTTCTCCTTCTCTACCTGCCTGGATCACATGACTTTCCCCTCCCAGGACCTAGTACCAAGGTGTTGGTACTCTTAAAGACATGGCTTGGCTGCATTAAATTACATGGATTTCATAGAATATCCTGGAAATAAAATCATCTCTTCTTTTATGTACTCTATGCAGAAAGACACTTAGAAGTGCAAATCATTCAGATGTTGGGAGCCTTTTTGTTTTTTGTTTGAAAATGCCTTAACCTAATTTCCAAGCAGATCTTTGGCTTTTCTAGATACGTAGTTTCAAATGATTGAGAGTCACTTGTGGGACATGAAGGCATTGGCCCTCTTTGCTATCCAAGCATTTTGTTATCAGTAGAGAGAACTCTTCTAGAACTCATGGGCCAGACCTCATTCCTCCCAAGCTTTGCAGATAGAAGGTCTGCTACAAGGTTACCTTTATAATGAATAAAACTCACTTTTAAAGGAAGCTAGTTAAATGGTTGCTGGAGTGAGTTTGGCATATCTGAATTATTAAAAAGTTAAAAATGTTCATAGATGTACATATTCAAGGGAGAAACAGGAAAAGAGGCAGAAGCAGCCTGTACCCACTACTGTTTGAGGTCAGAAAGGATCTTAGGTTTTCTTTTTCTTTCTTTTTTTTTTTTTTTTTTAAGGCAAGGTTTCACCGTATTGGTCAGGCTGGTCTTGAACTCCTGACCTCAGGTGATCCTCCTGCCTTGACCTCCAAAGTGTTTGGATTACAGTCGTGAGCCACCACACCCAGCCCAGGATCTTAGGTTTTCTAAAATGATGAAAATTTGAATCTGCTCTGACACCTTCTCACCTAGTCTTCTTTTGATCAATGTCACCAAACAGTCCCAGCCCTCTTGGATGTAGTCTGAGGAATAAAATGCTAAAAATATCACCCAGGCATTGCTTTTACCCGAGATCTATTTTGACTAGCACAGCCCGCAACTGTTTACATGCAGGGAACAGGGAGTCAGCCTACTGTTCCCGACGTGCATTTTAATAAGCCACCTGACAAGATCAACAGGAAGAAAAGAAAAATTGTGAGCAGGTGCAAGGGAGCTGGGAGGAGCTGGAGGAAGACAAGCCCTGCTTCTCCCTGCTCTTCATCCAGTCGGCACGTTGTTCTGCTGCCAGGACCCTCTGGCTGGAACAGAGGCTGTCCCCAGTTCCCTCCGGTGTGGGCTCTGATAAAGGGAGCCTAAAGTCTCAAATTAATCCTCCATGCCTTCAACAAAAGGAAAACTGGATTTCGGTAGTGATTGTTTTACTGTCGTAACCCAAAATGCTTCATTCATTCGCTCAGAGGCCGGTTGGTGAGGTAGGGTGTTCCTCTTGGCTTCCTTGCCTTGGGAATGTGTGGTGCATTTGCTGATGGGATGTCTGTTTCCAGATGGGCATCTTTATTCCTGGCACCAGCCTTTGAGAATGTGACAGACCATTTTTAAGTATTTGCTTTGTACAAATTGTAGCCTATTGACGGGTCTTGCCGGCTTTTCTTGTTTTATACCATGATAGATTTTGTGCAGTGTGTTGTATAAGTAATAATGATAGGTCTGGCTTTGTAGTTGTGGCTGTTTGTTTTCTCTTCCTTTGTATCCAGTCTTAATGTGTTCCTCTAACACCACGTTGGCAAGCCAGCCAGGGTTGTTAATGACATGTTAAAGCCTATCTTCTGTCTAAATTGGTGGCGATTCTGTCTTGATTTTTTTAAAAAAAAATGCCTGTGTTTAGAATAATGCTGCTTCGAAAGTCATCTAGCCAGTAGCTTTTCCATTTCATTGGAGAAACATATTGGAAAAATAGTGATAGTTTGTCCACTACCTTCAATTCAGTTGTGTTCCCTGGAGGGGTAAGAAAATGAAGACTGAACGTCGCCAGGTTGCTCAGAATACATCTGCACTAGTCTGTGGCTTGGCAGATGGGAGATGACAATGGGCAAGGCCAGGGCATCTCCTCCCTAGATGAAACCTTCACCATGCAGTGGGCAAAGGGCCATCTGGGTCTTTCAGAAGGTTCTGCATAGGTCTGAAAATGTTACCCTCTTCCGCATCCTATGGGGAAAAAAAATCACAAAATTCACTTGTGATAGGTAAAGACGTAGATGTAAATATCTGTCAATACCTATCAGTATTATGTGTAGTTAAATAATTAGAAATTCACCAATAGCAACTAAGTTCACAATTTAGTTCAGTTAAAGGTTATTAATAGTAGGCTGGGCGCGGTGGCTCATGCTTGTAATCCTAGCACTTTGGGAGGCTGAGGCGAGTGGATCACCTGAGGTCAGGAGTTCGAGAACAGCCTGCCAATGAGGTGAAACCCTGTCTCTACTAAAAATACAAAAAATTAGCTAGGTGTTGTGGCGGGCACCTGTAATCCTAGCTGTTTGGGAGGCTGAGGTAGGAGAATTGCTTGAACCCGGGAAGCAGAGGTTGCAGTGAGCCAAGATCATGCCATTGCACTCCAGCCTCCAACCTGGGTGACAGAGTGAGATTCTGTCCCCAAAAAAAAAAAAAAAAAAAAAAAAAAAAAAAAAAACAAGGTATTAATAGTAATTATCTCAGTCTACCAGGATTTGTAAATACTAATGTCCCAAACTGAAGTTAGGGAGACCCATTTTTACCTTTTTTTTAACTTTTAGTTTTATCTCTGTGTAATTGTATTGGGGGCAAATTTGTCAGTGTCTTCTCTTTTTTAATTAACAATTGTTTTCCCAACTTCTTGGTAAATAATCCTTCATTCAATTTGCCAGTGTTAGTGTCTCTTCTAAATTCCAAGTTGGAATGTAAAATTCTTTTGTGTTGTAATTGTGGATCAGAATCTATTAATTAACTTGTTAATGCATTTAGGACCTGGTATTCCTAAAGGGCTCATTACTGAACCTCACACTAGTCTTTCTAATATCTTTACAAAAAGATAGCATCAATAATGACTGAATTGTCAGGTGGAAAAAACGGTTGGCTTAGCAGTGAACATGAAGTCTTTATTCAGATACATGCAAATGTATTACATTCATAAGAATGATAATTTTGAGAAACATTTGAACAGCATAATTACTTGCAGAAATGTTACTGTATTTTATATATTATGCTGTATAATGTCCTGAACATCTTTGGGAGTTGTGTGTTAAGGGGTAATGAGGAAACCTGAAACTATATTAGAAAGTGGTGTTATAGATACTAAGGAAAGAAATTATATAATCGTCTTTTTAGCCATTTAATCATAGTTAATAAGAAAACATATTGCGACTTTCTGAACTGAAATATAAACTCTCTTAGTGATAGACAGCTGTCTTTCAGGTGGTCCCTATAGTCAGACGTTACTCCGTAACCTATGCCAGGCAGTCGTCAGTTTGTTGGTTGATATTTTCTAATTTCACAATTTCTGTGATTTTTCCCACAAATTGGATTAAGAAGGATTCAGAGTCACACTTATTTTTGACTTTCATGTGTTCCAGTCATTTCCTGTTGACAGGAATCTGATGGAAATGTCATCATGGTGATCACTATTCTGAAGAACTTAAGCTGCAAGTTTTCCTGAGTTTGTTGTTTGATGTGTATTGATATCAGGATCTGTGTGAAATTGGGGCTGTTGAGGAGACTAGGGTCCATCCATGTCCCACTGTACGCCCCAGCCTTAAGTGCAGTATCTACCCATTTGATCTATGAGCTATAATAGCTCTTCATGCATTTGACTTTACAGAGAGATTGAATTAAAGTGTGTGTGTGTGTGTGGGTGTGTGTGTGTGTAAAATAAATATATAATGTATACTTAATGTGAAATAATTGCAGACTGCTAAAATTTAATATAGGGATCACTGAAAGAAAAAATCTTAATTCTTCACTTGTTTCTATTTATCAATATAACTCTTTAGTCTTACTCTGTTTTTTTCCAAAGAGAAATTAAAGAATGAATATATCAGTGAAAATTGCTGGCATTTTTGGACTAATATTCTCTTGGGGAAGAATAAAAATGTTCTCTTGAATCTTATCAGACAATTCTGTGATACATCCTAGTGTAACATACATTTCAAAAAGTCTTTAAAGATGGAGTATCCTGTTTCCTCTGCAATATTTGCTCTCTGCAGAAGGACCAGGCAGTAGTGACACTTTGATTAGCTGCATTCATGGTGCTGAGCTTTTTTCCAGCAGACAGAGAAGAGAGCCTCATAAAAAGATCCAAAGATACCTGGTTAAGCTTCTTCCAAATGAACCACATATGAAGGCCACAGGTTAAAGGGTCTAGCAAAGTATGCTGTTGGGATTTTCTGATTGACACTTTGCTACTATTGGGGAAAAATTTGTAAAATATGTTTTCTTTTTTTGGTACTCAGATGAGTATAGGATCAAACCAGTGGAAGAGGTCAAATACATGAAAAATGGGGCAGAAGAAGAGCAGAAAATAGCAGCCAGGAACCAAGAAAACTTGGTAAGAATTGAATTTCTCACTTAACAATGAATTTTGGTGACACCATTGTAATAAAATCTGCACTGCATGTTTTAACTGCAGCTTACACACTGGCACAAGATTTCTTGAAAATGCTGCAGCTATTTATAGCTTGCCTGGAAGCTGCACCATTACTCCTGTATCCTGTTTGTCTCCGAATAAGCCCTTTTTAATCTTGATAGAGAATGCTCCAGGGAAAATATAGCAAAACTATTAGTGTTTTAAAATAGCTAAATTTAAGGGAAAAATCATGAAGTAGGATTGAGGTTTGTGAGGGGAGGATTGTATGAGTTTTGTTTTTCTGTACCTCTTTTACTCCTATCCAAATCAGGATGAATGGTTTTTTCATTATTCTAGAGATGTAATGTGGACAAAGTTGCTTTTCAAAGGAATAAAAGGTCATTTTTAAAGGAAAAGCAACTCACTTCAAGGTAAGTCTTTCTCCAGAGAGTCAGTACTTCATATTCACAATATTAAAGGTCTTACGGGTTTTGAGTTTATGTGAGAATTGTGATGATCTGAAATAGGAAGTCAGGAACCTCTTTTTTTGAGTAGGAACCAGTATACACTTTCCATCTTAACATCCCATATTCATAAAAACATTAGCTAATTATAATATAGATGATTTCTTAAAAGCAGTTACAAATTGTTAAGAATATGTATTTACTCAGTTGTATCGGAGCAAAATTGTTTTTGTTGTTTATATTATATTTTGCATTACTTATATTTGGTTTTTTCATGATTGAGTTAAAATGTATTTTTTAAGAAGCTTGCAGTGTCATATAATACTTTCACTTGACTGAAACTCATTTTTTAATGATGTGCTTTGTTTTTCTTTTAATGACTTCTGCTGCAGGAGAGGAATTTGCCAGAACAATAAGCAGTGCACATGAGTATTTAGGGCTGTCATTTTCCATGACACATTTGTGAATATTGGAGGCTGATTCTTTTCCCTAATTCTTTTCTGAACATATGATCTATAAGTTTGAAATACTGAAGTATCAATAAGTCAATATTTTTAGATCATTTTAAAGGAATGAAAATTTAGGTAATGAAGTTTTGCTTCATAAATGGGATTTGGATTTTAAAGTATCACTTAAGACACAGAGATTCATTATGTCTACAGTGGGTAATGTATTTTATCATCAATACTTAAATCCAGGAAAGTAGCTATGACTAAATACTAAAAGTTAATATTACCAGACCGTCTACATGGTGTTTATTTTGCTTTGAATGGACAAATCGAAGACCTGAGCATTGAAATATTAGTAGTCATGTTTCTACTTTATTTTACTAAACAATGGAGTTTTTCCTTGCTTGATGGAGTTCTAGCTTGACTTATAAATCTCATTTTAGTAATAATATTTACTATAGAGGCTAGGGAACTACTTGTGAATAGTCTGGCAGTGGTTTCTCCTTGATTCTACCAACGTGTGTCTCTGCTTCACATGCTTGTGTCTCTGGAACCAAAGAAGCAACACCTTTTATAGTTTATGAGTTTTCTCAGCGTGCTTTCATCATATTTAGGACCAGTATAACCATTTTCCTTCTCTCTCAGTTTTGCAATCTGTCAACTACTTGGTGCTTGGTGTATTCTTTTTCAGCATTGTGGTCAGAATCAGACTGAATTGGGATTTGAAAAGAGAAAAATGTCTGGTCATTCTGCTTTATTTGTGGATTATCTGTGACAAGCCTCACCCCTTTGCTCTGCCAGCCAGCCAGGATCCAGGCTCCCAATAGAATTTTTCAAGTGTGTAAAGATTTGCATGGGGAATGGAAAGTAAATGGCTATCTTTAATCCTAAATTCCTAGACTGTTTTCCAAAATTAAGTGACTGTTCAGTTATCTGGTAGTTTTTTGTCTTTGTTACCTACTCCATCCTTAGGGGGACATAATCAAGTATTGACTATACACAATTTGAGAAAATATTAATAGCCTCCTAAACTTGAAGCTTAACATTGGAAAGTGGATGAAATAGATGTAACAATTATTATTATTATTATTTTAAATAAGAAACACTCTTTAAGTGTCAAGAAGTTCTTACATTTCAAAGAATGATATTAAGATGTAGGTCAAAGTGTTTTTTAAAAGTTTCTTTAAACTCATACTGTTGCTTGCTCAGCAAACACAACCAAGGCAGTATGGCAGGATGGTGAGGACAAGGGTTCCAGTCTCAGCTCTGCCACTTGCTTACTGTAGGATGAAGATTTTTATTTCTCTAAACCTCCCACACACCACATGAGAAAAACAACAATGCCTCATAGTCCTGTTGTGAGTATTGCATGAGATGACAGTCGTAAGACTTTGAGCTCAGTGCTTAGCACATGATAAGCATCTGTAAGAGTTAGACATCATCACGTAAAACAAAAGGAAAGAATCAAGAGTGTTAAAATCAGGTTTCTTTCTTTTTTCCTTTATGTTAATTGGTGGGAGCTTTCTAAACGAATACTTTAGGTTGATGCCAATGTTAGATGTATCTTTAAAAACTTTACCATGGAACCATGAAATTATGTACAAAGTATGTTTTGAGTACCTATTGTGTACAGAACACTAAGTTTTGAGAGACTCAGGGTACTTAAAGTCAGTCTTCAAGGAGCTTACAGTATAGTTTCGTTGAGTTCAACAAATATTTGATTGCCTCTTGCAAAGCACTTGCACTAGACTCTGCAGAGAAACAGATAAAGAAAGAAACCACTGATCCTCAGGGTGCTTATATTGCAGTGGACAAGATAAGTACCAAATGACTGTAAGTAAAACAAGGTGAGACTGAACTTTAAGAAGGAAATACAAAGAGCTGTAGATATTCAAAGGAGGTAGAGAACTCATCTATTGGGGTATCAGGATCTACTTCATGAAAAAGCTGACACTTAAGATGGGCCTCAAAGTATGGAATTGGGGACATGTGCCCAAGCAGAAGTAACAGGTGAAAAACATAAGATATATTTAGTAAAATGCACATAGTCATTTTGGTTGGGCAATGGCAGAGAATAGGAGTAGGTGTCAGTAGGGAAGCAATGGGAGATTAGAATCAAAATGTAGATGGGGTAATGTACAGAGCCTTGATATCCAGCTGAGTGCTCTAAAATTGATGCAGTGGATTGAAGGGAGGCTTTGAGTGTTCATAAACCAGGGATTGGCAGGATGGAATTACAGTGTGGGAAAGTTCATGTGGCAACAGCTGGTATAATATGGATTGGTTTGGGGAGCCAAAATGAGAGACCAGTCACAATAATTTTTTCAAGAGGCAGTAAATCTGAACCAAGGTGTTGACAGGGAGAATAGAAAAGATTTCGGTAAGGCTGCAGAAGTAGAAGCAACAAGATTTGACGGCTCATTAGGTATTAATTAAGACCAGTGAATTAGGAGATAATGGTAATGTCAAGATTTAGACGCCCTAGAAAGACGGTGGGTTGGTCATGATGAGAATAAGTGGTGACCACAATGATATGGTGAAATCAGTGGGAAGACTGTTTTTGAGGAAAATAGAAGGTACGCATCCATCCATCCATCCATCCATTCATTCATTCATTCATTATTTATTCTTGTTAATCCTTAAAAAGTTCAAAGTATAGTGCACAAAAGAAGTTAAGACATGGATCATACAACAATGTAGTAAGTGCAGTAATAGAACTTCACCTGTGTCTACTAGATTCTTAGGCAGTCAGATTATTTGGGAGACACAAAAAGCACATCAGAATAAATCCCCTTGGGAGCTTACTTTCTGAAAGCAGATAGAAGGCATGTGACCTAAATGAACACAATTCAAAGTATAATGTGAAAACAGAGATTGGTTTGAGCAAACAGAGCTTTAGGAATTTGTAGAACATTGATGTGGAGAACTCTAGCGAAGAGGTGGGAATGATGGTGTGCAGCTCAGCAGCATTGCTTTGGGACATGCCAGGTGTTCAGAATGTTTTTGTTGGCTTGAATGAACAGAAGAATGAATGAATAGGCATAGTTGGGCCTATAAATATACATTTGGGTCAAGTTGATGGCTGAATGCTTGATACATTAGTCCATTTTCATGCCGCTTTAAAGACATATCCAAGACTGGGTAATTTATAAAGAAAGAATTTAATTGAATCACAGTTCCGTATGGCCAGGGGGGCATCAGGAAACTTAGAATCATGGTAGAAGGGAAAACAAACACGTCTTTCTTCACATAGTGGCAGGGGAGAGAACTGTATAGCCAAGGGGAGAAAATTCCTTTATAAAACCATCAGATCTCATGAAAACTCACTCACTAGCATGAGAACAGCATGGAGGAACTGCCCTTGTGATTTAATCACCTCCTATGAGGTCCTTTCCCTGACATGTGGGGATTTCAATTCAAGATGAGATTTGGGTGGGGACACAGAGCCAGACCGCATCACTTGGGTATAAATGGGGCAGCCAAAAGGAAGAGAAGAGATGATGGTCAAAGAAAGCCCCTTGAGACTCCAAGGTCCACTTGAAGGCCCTCCTCTGTAGGTTGTCTGTGCCCACAGGAGGCTTTGGCTTCTGTCTTGCCACTGCCCTCCTTGCTCACAGCAGGCCTCATCATTGGTAGCTCTTCATTTTTTAAGATTCTCCTTTATTCATTCTGATTACATCTGAGTTCTTTATAGTACTCAACGCAACTGTTTAGGAATAACTGTGCATAATTTGCTTAGTATCTGTTCCTCTTTTGGACTTTAAGCTCATGAGGCTAAAAACTATCTTTTTGGTATCTAGCACCTAACAGTTCATAATACCTAGTAGTTGCTCAGTAATTGCTGCAGACCTCCAGTCTTTTGAGCCCCTTGACATCAGGGCTGCATGATGGAGAAGATCATGCTGGTTTTCTGAGGCTGTTGATGCATCATTTATATGTCAGTCATTTATGTACTCACAATATGAAGATGTTCATTATCCCAATTTTCATCATTGCTTAATGTCATATTTTCCACTTTGCTTCTCTCAGACTTTAATTCCATCTTAAGGATGGTGGTGTGAAGTAGTAG